ACTGTGTATACATTACGGCATAACGTATGCCAACATACATGCAAGACCATGCAAGGTCCATTAATTTCAACTCTCTGACCATAACCCTGCAGGCACATGTAGGTATTTTAATAAAAAATTCTAATTACAACCAATCTACCCCCCACCCGCTCCTTGATGTGGACCATTACAGCCAATTTCTTAAGCTCTTCCCAGAAATATACACAGTACCAGAATCAGGCAATCAATGCTGTGAAACAATGCAGATTTAAAATGGAGGTCTCTCAATGCTCTCGCCACCATCTCATCCCTTACGATATCGTCTCCCCTGAGGTAGAAACCTGTTCTTAATAAGAAGAAACCAAGTGGAATTCCTCATCTATTAGACATAAATCCATACAAGCCCAGTCAAAAACTCTCATTTTCTGAGTTGTATCCCCGAGATGTGGAAGATCAAAGCAGCTTTGAAGAACTCTTTGGGAAGAAACATATTTACTCGGGTGGGCCAGAAGAGTACTGTGAGAGATACCAATTTTCTCAAAACAGTACACCGTACGACTCTGATGATTGCAGAGAGAAGCTGTATTTAAAGTTCTACCAGCGGATACAAGATGAGTACCAGAAAGAGAGGCCATCAGACTGCACAATTGTGGCTATCAGCAAAGAGCAGATGGAATACGCCACTGCCATAGGCCATCGATTGCAGGATCATGGCCTAATGGTGGAGATGATTTACTTGACATCAGAAACCGGTCTTACACGCGCCCTCCAGGAGGTTAAAAACGACGGCTCCCCGTTTTGCATACTAGTTGAGCAGTCAAATGTAGCCCTCACCTCTTGCACTGCAATCATGCTTCATGAGTCTATCAAAAGAATTCAAAGTACGTTGTATCTTCCTAAATTCAGCGCTTCTGTTTGGCCAGCCTTAGACACCAGTGAACTGATATATGAAAAGTGTGCTGAAAAGAATATTGCCAATGAACTACAGAAAGTACATCGCAATATGCCAATGGAGGATGCCCTGGCTCTGGTAGTTAAGGCATTCGGGAAAGTTTTTGGCGAGCGTGAACAACAGGAGCGTAATGAAATTTCACACAAAGCGGCTGATCTGGCAGACGACTACCTGGAGAGGGAGCTCTATGAATCACCTTCTCTTCCTCTTAAGTGATGGCAAATATTTATATGCGGAAGAGCTGAAAGCAATCAGTGACTACCTGAAGACCAGGATAACTGAGCTGGAAGGATTTGAAGAAGCAGACACTACTGAACAGGCTAATCCTGCATATGATAGTCACACCAACAGTAAAACACATCTCTTGGAGAAGCCTCCTCCACTGCTTCCCACTCCTGCCAGGAATTCCCTTGGAGGACTCGCTAAGCCTTCCTTGCTGGGTGACAGACCATCAGCTAGTATCGGTCTCCTTTCCAATCAAGGTTTTAAAAAAGTCGAGCTCAAGGAGGATCCAGCTAATGCCATTTATAAAGCACTACCCTGCGTTTCATCAGATGCCCTGGCAAAGCCTCCTCCACCACTTCTTCCTACACCTGTCAGGACCCCATTAATGGGAGTAGGGAAACAATCTCTTCTATCTGACAGATCCTCAGGTGGGCTTCTTCCTACACTAGGACTATCAGCTCCAAAAGGCAAACCTCCGCCACTTTTGGCAATGCCAACAAAAAGACTCCGCTCCTTGGCTTTCCTCCAATGTCTCCTGCAAAACGACCACTCCTTGCTGAAAAACCAGGTCTTCTTCCCACTCCTGCTATTTCTGCAAATACCAATTCACACCTCTGGCCACTGAAACCTAAACCTTTACAGAAGATCCAGTCCTGACAGCGACTATTGTAAGACTTTCATCGCATATCACTCAAGAAAAGAATATCAATGTTTGTCTAGATGGTAAAGGTCCCTTGAATTCTCACCAGAAACTATCCAAGCTCTCAAGATATCTGCTAAAGATGTAAATGCAAAAAAGGATCTTTGTAGCAATCATTTACCTTCCTTGCTTCAGCTGCACGTCTCTTAGGGCCCATGGCCACACTATCTTCCGGTTTTTACCCCAAGTGCAGCAGCCAATCAGGCACAGCCACATCATTTGGCCAAATCTTTGAAGTATTTGTGAACAGCAGCAATAAAGGAGCATTTTAATACATCAAATGGTATGTTATGACTGTAATTGAATTTACCTTTTTAAAAAATAAAGGTTGTTTACTATTTAAAAAAAAAAAATCTGACAAACATTTAAGCTAAAATTCAAATCTTAAAAAAAAGGTTTTAACCCTATAATTTTTCGGGTGTCAATAAATACAGTGGAGCTCCACCCACGTTGTTAGAGTGAATAGAGAAATGAAGTGATTTCTTTCCTCTTTGTCTCATGCGGGCGAAACAACTGAAATTCCAGCCATTTATGCCCAGTTTAAGGATTAAAATACTGCTGTGTGTATAGGGTCGCCACCTGTGCAGGATTCACCCGGACAGTCCTGGTTTTGAATGCTGTGTCCGGGTTTCATGGCAGCAGAAACCCGGGTTGAAGATGTCAGGCAGACAGTGGCAACCAAAACCGAGATAGGGGCTACTGGGCCCCCCACTGAAAATAGTATCAACTGTGATATTTACATATGAATGGGTGGCGCTATTTACATATGAATAAGCCGCGACTCATTCTTCCAAAAAAGATGTCCGCGCGTCGCTAGAGTGTTCAGTTTTCGCTTGAAGAAAAGGTGGCAACCCTAAGTGTATACCATGTGTGGATGTTGTTTTCAGAACACTAAGCAACGTGCTCTTCTGAGGTGTGGACATTATATGCAGGACATTCTATCGCACTGAAGAGCTGCACCTTGCATGCAATACCAAGGACTGCACATTCAGCTGTGTGTATTATATAATGGAACATATTCTAAAACCTCGAACAAGAGGCTCCTGTGGAGTGCTGATGAAATCTACTTTATTTGTATTTTCAGACCAAATTGAACTTAAATACTTTAAATTGCTCAGTTATATACAAATGAATGAAAGGACTCGCACATGAATGGGTTAACCCCTTTTTTCTTTTTTTTTTGCAACGTGCACTACTAGAACTTGTGATACTTGGGGCTGATCTAACACTTATTGAACTATAATAAAAGGCACCGTTCCTTGTTTGGAATGAGTCAAGAGATTATGTTTTATGCTTTATCTGTGTGTGTATATTTTAAAGGTTTATATGCAGAATTGCTTTTACGTGACTAGCAATAAAAGTAATACTTTTTATTAGTATTGTACTTGGAACTAAAAACCCTTTCGCATTCTCTCTCTCTTACATCACCAAACCTCACTCTAAATCTCTTAAGACTAGCAGTGCCTTAGATCAGTGGTTCTCAACCTGTGTAACCTCAGGACCCACATTTGTCCTCGGTCATTAAGTCGCAACCCAAGTTGCACTGCAATGGAATGTACAGTATTGCGGTACCACAAGTTCCGGTGTAGGCGATCAAAATCTGTGAGTGGGAGGTGCATTTGGGGTGCAATTCAAATGAATCGCAATGCAATGCACCTCCCACACCAGAACGCACGGTAGGTGCGATTGCACTGTACAGTGCTTTATTCGCATGGGACTGTGTGATTAACGTACTGTGCTAGTGTGAACGGGCCCTCAAAAACACTGACAGACACACACAATCTCACACACCCATAGACATTCTCACACACACATATACACTCCAAAAAGATCCACCCTGTCATCCCTATGTTATGAGAACTGGAGTGGATCCTCAGCCTGGGGTCCGGTGTGGGCTGCTGTGCTGTAATAGAGCGCCATCCCTATGTCCATTGCTTGTAGAGCTCCCATGCGCGCCTGTAGAGGTGCCGGGAGTCAGAATGTGATTTCACTCTGGTCCAGGCACCTCTATAGGGCACATGAGGAAGCTGTAAGCAATGCACGTATGGATGGAGCTCCCTCACGGCCATACCCCCAGCCAACCCCCCCCTCAAGTGGATACCTAGCACCGGGCAGCAAATTTTGAATGGCTGCTCGGTGCAAGAACTGACAGTGCTGCGTTAGGGGGAGGCTGAGGAGCCTCTCACCTAGAAAAGTGGAAGGCAAATGGCGACACACTGAACACGGGTTACAGTCCGTGTACCCATCGCACTCAGAGCCGCTGTTCCAAAATTGGAGGGTGGGTGCAGCAGGTGTCAGCGGGTGGCTTCCGACATAATATCAGTAAAGGATGGACACCGGCACTCCAAAGCAAGTTCAGTAAGTGTTTATTAACGTACTGGTTGCAAGTAGAACACTCTAAATAACATTTCGGGGTCTCACAGGATCCCCTACATTCATTTGCCTGATGGGATCCTGTGAGACCGCGAAACGCTGTTTAGAGTGTTCTACTTGCAACTACAGGTAGTATGTTAATAAACACTTACTGAACTTGCTTTGGAGTGCCAGTGTCCATCCTCCAATGAACACGTGGTCACGCCCTACTTTTGGGTCATGACCCACCAGTTGAGAAACAAGTCCCTAGATGAACCTGATATGAGATAGGATCATAGGGACCTTTGATTGTAAGCTCCTAGAGGGCAGCGAATAAACAAAAAAGGTCACATGATCTTTTTGGTGAGTCCTGTGTATGCAGAGGGTGTGCACATCGATTGAACTGGATGGTGCATGCAGTTGGACTTTTATTGTTGACATAAGTTAGACTTTTATTTGTATTTTTGGCATTGTTTTTTATTAACACTTGAGGTAATTGTTTGCCTAGGTCTTTATTGCAGTGCAGATTTATACTTTATGTACAAAAGAATACTTTGTTGGTTACGTTTTTTTGTTGTTATCACTATGTGATGTGTAACCGAGATTACAGGGTTGCATTGTACTATTTCTTATTAGATAATGGAGAATGTGTCCTATCCTCAGGCTAGGAGGGCCACAGAAGTGGGCTGTGTGTTCTAAGTGGCTGTTTGGTCATGGCCCAGCCCACCCTCTGTGTGTATGAATTCCAGGTCTTCGAGGGTGAGTGGATCACAGTGCAGGTAACAACGTAGAAGGGATGAACAGATATCCAGTGGAAGCAAAAGCAGTTGGACTAGTGCAGCATGGGAGGCAGAAGGTGAGGCACAGCAACTATGTCTATTATTTGTGGTGCCAGAGGAGATTTAGTTTAATTTTATTAGAACTGCCATACATTGCATTCCAAACATGCTAAAGGTGAACGCTTGTTTCCTATTGTATTTTTTAAGTAAAACGTCCCTAAGAGGCATATGGGGGCTGACAGGTAGCTATCAATTTCATAAAGAGTCAGAAAGTCTACAATGGAATATCTGTGTTAGCTGTAGGTACACTGCTGAATCCTGACCCGAGGGTTTGGCTCTTCTATGCTGTCTGTGCCATACGCTGGTGTAGCTGCTGTTTTGTTTCACCGACATACAATTCTGAGTGAGAACCTTCACAGACATATCTACAATGGAAGCTCCCAGGAAAGGTTTCCTTTAAGCCTCCTTTCACACCTAAGAATTTTGTTGCCCATTTCCCGTAAAAGTAAGTTTTTTTCAGGTGGAATCACGCATTTTTGGTCCCATAGACATAATTGGGAGAGCCTGAACACATACGACTGAAGCAATACAACACTCAACATGAATATACACTGTCTGTCCAAAAAAAAAGTCATATAGCTAAGCAAATAGGTCAGAGCATTCCATTGGATAATAGGTCTCGGTTCACTAATGTTATGTGCCCAGAAAATGAGGTCAGCTGACTACCTGAATATACTGAATGACCAGGTTTTTCATCAATGGATTTTTTCCTTCCTGAAGGCACATTGGGCATATTCCAAGATGACAATGCCAGGCTTCACCGGGGTCACATTGTGAAAGAGTGGTTCAGGGAGCATGAGATATCATTTTCACATATAGAGTCCAGACCTTATCCCCATTAAGAATCTTTGGGATGTGCAGGAGAAGACTTTACACCAGGGGTGCCCACAATTTTTGTGTTAAGATCTACTTTTAAAATGACGAGCTACATGAGATCTACCAACGAAAAAGAAAAACTCCCTCGCTGTCTCTCTCCTGGCTGTCTCTCCTTGCTCTCTCTCCTGGCTGTCTTTCCTTGCTCCCCTGGCTGTCTCTCCTTGCTCTCTCTGCTGGCTGCCTCTCCTCTCTCTCTCCTGGCTGTCTTTCCTCTCTCTCTCTTGGCTGTCTCTCCTTGCTCTCTCCCCTGGCTGTCTCTCCTCGCACTCTCTCCTGTCTGTCTCTTCGCTCTCTCTCCTGGCTCACCTCGCTGTATTTTGCAAACAGTGCAGTGCAACAGGCTGTGTAAACTAATATTCTTTGATGCAATACATAGCACTTCATCCACCAGAAATGTGTCAGGGAACTTGGCTCAGCAGACTCAGGCTAATAGGTTTCATGTGTGCACAGCTAAATAAATATACCAAAATGGAATAAAGGGGCCACCATTCACACCCTTCGTGATCTACCATCATCAGCTTTGAGAGCTACTGGTAGATCACAATCTACCTAATGGGCACCCCTGCTTTACACATTGCTCCGACTCTTCTATCATTACTACAAGATCTTGGTGAAAAATTAATGCAATTATGGACGGAAATAAATGTTGTGGCATTGCATAAGCATAGCGAAATGATGCCATGGCACGTGCGTGCCGTAATCAAAGCTAAAGGTGGTCAAACAAAATATTAGAGTGTGTGATTTTTCTTTTAGACGGGCAGTGTATTTAATGGTACCCATTAACATCTGAGCCTCATGCTGCCGCTTGTCACACGAAAAAGTACATGAGCTTTTCTTTGGGCAGAATCAAGTGTTTTTTTGGCCCCATAGCCTTGGGAGTGCCTGAAAACATGTACCCAAAACATACAACTGAATCTAGACAATGCTTAACATGAAGATTACCATCATATTAATGTTACCTGTTCATACCTGAGCATTGTGCTACTGCTTGTCTTGCTAAAAAGTACATGAGCTTTTTTTCAGGCAGAATCATGCATTTATGTAGCCCTATAGACTTTAATGGAAATGCCTGAAAGCATGTGTTCAAAGCAAGATAATGCTCAGCATGAAGATTCCCATTATATTTGATTGTACCCACTCACATCTGAGCATCATGCTGCCACTTGTGACACGAAAAAGTACATGAGCTTTCTCTCAGGCAGAATCATGTTTTTGTCCCCATAAATTTTAATGAGCATTGTACTACTGGTTGTTGCCCTAAAAAGTACATGAGCTTTTTTCAGGCAGAATCACGTGTTTTTGGCCCCATAGACGTCAATGGGAATGCCTAAAAACATGGGAAGTCCAGATGAAGGGTCAGGAAGCAAATGGCAAGGTACGCAGACAGGGAGCTAGGTGATCACACCATAGGCAGGCCCGGATTTCCCACAAGGCCACCGAGGCCCGGCCTCGGGGCAGCAGAGCGCCGACGGGCGGCAGCGGTGACCCTGTGGGGAAGTTGCGGGCGCCGGTGTAAGGTATTGAAGCCAGGGCTGTTGCCAGGGTTTTATAGCCAGGGGATGTAAGACCACCCCCTGGTAACCGAGGTGACCAGGCGGCTTCCCTCCCCGGGAGCCAATGTCAGGTAAGAGAGGCAGAAGGTGTGTGCTGGGAAACTCCCCAAGCAAGGCCCACACCTTATTGCGCAGCCGATGTACCGCTCGCATGCCCGCCGCGCAACTGCCGCATGTGCACCGCATCCCTGGCGCCAGGAGTTCACCCAGGCTGGAGGAGATCCCGTGCCCTGCGCCGTGCCCGTTGACCCCTGCAAAGAGCTTTAATTCAGCACGTAGACATAACAAGCACTTACCCCTAGGGGTGCAGAGGTAGCCCCACTACAAGGGGAAGTTTTTACTTTACCCGGAGTTCTTTAAGCTGGCCATTGTGGAAACGTTTATTCGATTTTCTAACAAATAATGGGGTCAAATCCACAATCTATTTTGACCGTAGTGATGACAAAAATGGAAGATGCAGGATGGAAACTTTCTCGAAGAAATGAAATTCTAACAGTGAGTGTGGTTTTTGTTCAGGAAACTCCATTCATTTTTTAAATCGAATGTTAAAACCAAATGAAATTTCCAACCCCATTTACCAAGTCTCTCTGATGGTGTTATCGAAAATGTTCTGATGAGATTTCTCCTATAAATGTTTGTACGAAAATCTACCACTCTACCATGGTCGGCTTTAGTTTAAAGTATCAGAGGTGAAAGAACTCTAAGTTCTGTCAATAACTTTAATGTCTCCGAGCTCCTAAGTAGTCATAACAGCATCAAGCTCAGAGCATTGTAGTGTAAAAAAATCCCTCTTCATTTTTTGAGCGCAGTTTGTCTTGGTGGTTGAAAATGTTGATTTTTTTGTTATGTGATATTGGTCGGAATTTCTGGGTCATTTTGTGTTTTTTTTGTGCTTGCAGCTGTACATCTTGTCCATTCTGTGGTCTGATCGCAATAACATCATCATATACAGAACCTATGACAGCTTTAAGGAGCTCTCAGTAAGTATTATTAATTAAGGTGGACTGTGCATTAGCAGTGTTTTATTCTTCAGCCCTCCCCCTCCTTTCCTTACATTAGAATGCAAGTACCGACTTATTTTGGCTCCCTCTACAACATGTGTCCCAAGGGGAGTTCTGTGTGTAGTCCATGAGCTGATTGTTGGTCACTGCCTGAGCAGTCCATCAGGGCCTCTTATAATAATTATAATAATATTAATAATCGAGCCCTAGTGCTAGCTATACACATGGCAGATGGCAGTCAATTTCAATCACTTCGATCCACCAGGAACTGCAAATATGGTTGAAATTAAATTGCCAGAAACTGAGCAATCTACCACCCAGGGGGTTCTATTGACCCCCCAAAATTCAGCTGACTGTGAAGTATAAACTGCACTGGTATTGATCTCATGTGCCTTTTCGAAGCACAACATTTTAATTTGGTCAATTTTTTAATTCGATCGGCACAGTGCTGGAATGGCTTGCACACAAGGTGATCAAATCAAGTGGCTTTGCCTGTAATTGCTAAGAACAATGGTACGAAAAAAGAAAAATAAATAAGGTATACAGAATAAATACATATATATATATATATATTGTGGTGAGTCAGCAGGGCTGAGAGCAAAGAAGGGGTTCACTTGGGAGGGCAGGTACTTCCCCTACAGCCCTTCCTGTTAAAAGGTAACACAGGTGAGAGAGGAGTGGGGAAGCTGAGAGACAGACAGAAAGGTCTGTGTGTGTGTGGCTGCTCAGGAGCAAGTGGACTCTATCTTGGTGAGATCACCTAAACGCACTACGCAGTGCAATCTTATTGAAGGACATAATTTTTGCCATCATTATTTTTGCTTAATCTTTTAATATTCATTACAGTGGCTTTGCCTCTAATTTCGGCCACAAGCAGTGGTATCAGCAGAGAGTATTGAGTTATTCAAAAAGCATTTAGATACTTTTCTCAGAGACCATAACATACAGAGGTACAGGTTACAGGGTAACGTACAGGGAACAGGTTAAAAACTAGACCACACAGGGACTCGTGTATACAAACATGCACAATCACAAACAGACACACAAAGGTTGAACTTGATGAACCCGTGTCTTTATTCAACCTCAAATACTATGTAACTATGTAACTATGTATATAGTTAATAAACAAAACCGACCTATGGAGGCACTGCCAATAAGCACCAACATTTCTGTCAATACATTTAAAATATTCAAAGACGGGTAGGTGGGAAATGTGTAATTTAATTAAAATGATAGCAAAATGGGAAGAAAATGACTGCAATCACAAAGAAAGCAATCAGATTTTTCTGCCGCATTTGTTCAGAGTAATTTTGATTCCATCAGTTGATCAAAACCACCATTTTATGCTTTCCATTGCTTTGTCATTTTGATACAAATTGATGGAATAAAATTAAAATGCTCAATTAAATTGTCACATAACCAGCATAAGGATTGTGTACATTTACAAGGTTATTCACAAAAGGGTGGAGAGTTTGGAGAAGGCCGGAGAAGGGAACAATCTAGGACAACATAGCTGATTAGGAAAAATTCTCCAATTCAGCTCACTTTCCTGTTCAGCTATGTTGCCCGAGATTGTTCCCTTCTCCTGCCTTCTCCAAACTCTTCACCCTTTTGTGAATAACCATGTTAGTGTCAGTAGAGCCGTACAGCTCAGATAAAGGCAGGAGGTGGGATGTGTCAGGCTTGCTGTTATTACCTAGTAGCCAACCTTTGACAATGAGACATATCATTATGTGGCCTCTAATGTCCACGTCATGGGCCGATGGGCCTTCCATTGAATAGAGGTATTGTACACCTTACTGGTAATGGGGTCCTGTAATATAACAAGTGTTTCCCTTTGATCCTTTAGAAACTGCTTTCAAATACCTTTCCGCTTGAGGCCGGGCTGGTCAATAAGTCGGACAGAACTCTTCCCGTGCTGAAAGGTAAGCCGGCCAATTTCCTTGGATGCCACAGACTGAAAACGCTCTACATCAGGAGTCCCCAACACCTATGCCGCTGGCCAGTATTGTGGCATATTAGGAACTGGGCCACAGGATTCCACCAGGATCCTGTTAGGAATCTGAACCTACGTGTCATTTTCGGGGACATCGGGTGAACGTGCAAGCTTAGAGCTGCTGATCAGGTCCAGAAATGTCACTGGCAATTGCGCATTTGCGGGGAAGCGGGTCTATAGCATTCACAGCCCAGGCAAAAATTAACGTGTGCTAATAGCTTTCCCACACAAGCGCTCGTGTGTTAATTTTTGCCTCGGCTGGCAATGTTATGGACTCGCTTCCCCGCACATGCGCAATGCACTGCAAGGGTTAAGCTCTTGTTTTAGTCTAAGTTAAAAAATAAAAAAGTTATGCTCACGTGATCCTCCGAGCTGGCTTGCTCTTAGACTGGTACCTGGAACCTCTCTCCCCCTCTTTAGTGGTCTAAGGTCCCTGAGTCATTCTATACACAGTGTACAGGAAGACAAGACACTGAGGAACATAACACCGCTGCAGCGTAAGAGAAGACAGGTAGGAGGGAGCCTTGCCACAGCTGGCTGGCTCAGAGGATCGGTTGACTGTAACTTTGTTATTATTGCAGGGAAGTATGTTCCTTGACTATGTGCGTCAGGGTTTCAGAAGGTTTTCCCTAGTGGCGAGCCTGAAGGGAGCCACTGTCATTCATGGGTGGGGGGGTGTGGTAGCTAAATAGAGGGTGGGCAGACAGTGTATTACATCACACACAGTGGGGAAGTACATTTCTCCTCTGTGTCTACCTGCAAAAAAGTGTCCCTATTAGCGATCCTGCTGGAAGCTGCTGTCAGTCATGAGCAAAGGGCGTGGTGTGGGCGAATGGAGTACCATTACCTTCACTGGAGTGCAGAAGTGACATTAGCAGTCTAATAGACCACTGATGTCTGTCACTGCACTAGATTGTCATACAATGCAGGGGGCATTGCAATAATGTGATAGCAATAAAGTTCAGTGAAAAAGGTTTTAAACATTTTTTAAAGCCTCCTGTCCCTATTTACACACAAATGTGAATGCAAACACGTGTTGGGTGCGCTTGTGTACAAAAACAATGATTGTGCCCATGCATTAGCATGATTATGTAGCGCCACGCACACTGGAATGAGAGCAATAATTCGAAGGCCACCATTTGCTGTTAATTCTGAAATGCTGTCTATGTGCGGTTTTGGGTACTGTTGTTTTCCTGCATTTCAAGGGCATGCGCAATTTGGAGGCTTGAAATGTTTGATATCTATTTGCTCAACACAAGAAATTGTGTTAGTGTGCACTAAAATTAATCCGAATGTTTTTGTGTACTAAAAAATATGGGCTTGATAAACCATTGCGCTAAATCGTGTGACTTGAAACATTGCAACTGCCACTATTTTATTCTGCAGGGTCTCTTTCAGAAAGTAAATCATTCTGGGGGGTTTAAGTAATCTTCAGGCCTAAAATGTGTATTATAACTAGGGATGCACCGATACCAGTATTTCGGGAACGAGTACCGATATTTTTTTTTTGGTACTCGTCAATACCGAATACCGAAAGTCCCATTAAGGAAGCCAGACGGCGTGTAATGACTCGCCACCTGGCTTCCTGATTAGCCGGGCGGAGTGTAAAGACTCGCCACCCTGCTTCCCAATTAGCAGGAAAGCCATCCCCATGCTTCTCGTCACTATGTGATGAGAAAGGACGGAGCCGGCTTTCTGGCCAATCAGGAAGCCGGGCGCCGTGCAATGACGCGGCACCCGGCTTTCTGATTGGCTAGGAAGCCGGCTTCATGCTCATGACGAGGAAGCATGGAGCTGGCTTCCTGGCCAATCAGGAAGCCAGGCGCCGCGTCATTATACGGTGCCCGGCTTTCAGATTGGCCAGCTTCCCAACCAATCAAGAAGCCAGGCAGCAAGTCATCACCCGCTCCCTCGTCACTTGTGCCAATCTCATTAATGAGTGTAGTGACGCGGCGCCCGGCTTCCTGATTGGCCGGGAAGCCAGGGAGCATGAAGCCGGCTTCTCGGCCAATCAGATAGCCGGGCAACGCGTCATTACACGGCGCCCGGCTTCCAGATTGGTCAGCTTCCCACAAGTGACAAGGGAGCATGGAGCTGGCTTCCCGGCCTATGTGTAATGACTCACTGCCCGGCTTCCTGATACCGGAAGTATCAGGCTAGGCATCTGTGTATTTGGGTGAGTACGAGTACTCACTCAAATACTCGGCATCTGCACCGATACCGATACCAGTATCGGTATCGGTGCATCCCTAATTATAACGTGTGCAAAAATGGCTCTGGCAGCGCAACGGTTAAGCTATCTGCAGACGCTTCCTAATTGTTTCTCTGCTGAAGATCTTTCATTTGATTTCCCCGGAACATTCCGATGTTTGACATGCAACAAGAATTTGATGACAATCAAAGCAAGGCCTCCAGCCAGGTGCAGGAAATACACAATTATATTGTATTCAGTCACTCAGCCATACAAGGGGGAACAAATGACTTTGAAAACAGCCCATTCCAGTTCTACTGACTGATCCCTCAGGTGATTCTTGGCTGTTACAAGAATCATATTACTAAAAATACCAAAAATGTATTTTTTAGACAAATGTTTGCTCAAAGCAGCTTACATATCGGCACCTCATACAAGCGATCCGCTGGCTCTAAAGCCGGCGGATCGCTTGCATGTAAACAAGCATCGCTGCCTGTTTTTAAATGTTGGCACTTTTCTGCTCGCATGGCTGAGCGGACAGTTAAAGTGCAAATGAGGCCAAAACTTTTTTTTTCTTCAGTTTTATATAGAGTGGAGAGGGAATATAACCCTGTCAGGTTTTTATTGCTGTCTGTGTCCCCATTACGGAGATTCACCCTCTCTATTTTTCCTGGTGACTGTTATCACTGAAAGTGAAAGACAATCCCAAATTTTGGGTTGTCACCAGAACAGGAATTGATGGGAAATCTTCCAATGGGGGCACTAGTTCTGGTGGCCCTGCTGACCACCAGGGGCTTCCAACATTTTGGAAGGATTTTCTCTCACTTCATGTTGAGGCTATCAGACAGGACGTGAAAGGAAATCTCCCAATGGGATACAGATGGCTTCAGTTCTATGTTAGGAGAAATACTTAGGCTGCTGTTGCTGACCTTCTTCTGTTTTGCACTGTTTTACATGCATTGCAGCATGCATGGTGATGCTAGGGTTCCCACGTACGTGTACCCACGTACAGAGTACATGTACTGGTGCCAATGCCTCATCTCTTGTGTCTTTTTGACTTCAGTTTGCGAAATTGGTGGCACGTGTTGTCATAAAAGATTAAAAACAAAAGGAAAAATTTTCTAAAACGTAATATGACTACAAAGATAGAATAATAATTATGAAATGTGGAACTACACCGGCAATTTTAAGTAGTCATGCTGCTAAAATCTCTAGTGAGTAATCATCAGGAGTAGCAACTGATTGCTAAACAGATGGGGCATAAGGCTCCCTGTGCTGTAAACTGCCCATTGCCCCTGTTTACAAGTCTCCTAGAATTCTTCTTTTCATACATGATCTCTGATTGTTTTGGGGATCCACAAGGCTCTAACAGATGCTGAGATGTAGAAAAACTAAAACATCTAAAGAGAGGGAGACACAAATGCTTGTGTGGCTTCCCCTCCTTTATATCTCATTGCTGGTTGGCCCGAGTCATGCAAAAATATCTGAAACCTGCAATCCCTTGCTCCCCTACCAAATGAATGGCTTTTCATGATAGCCCCATACAGTAGGTACTGGGTGACGTCTATTTGATCCTGTTTGAATCACATTGATTTGATACAGCTAAGAATTAAGACCCACAGCCACCATTTTGGCATTGACTCTACATACTGTACATTCAGATTAGTCACTACCCTCGAAGAGCTCACAATCTAAGGTCCCTATCTCACATGCATACATATAATACTAGGGCCAGTTCAGACAGGATGTCTTTGGAGTGTGGGAGGAAACCCATTCAAACTCAGGGAGAACAATTCCATGCAGATAATGACCTGGATTAGATTCAAATTGAGGACCCTAGTGCTCCACAATAGAAGGGCTAACCCCTAAGCCACAGTGCTGTCCATATTATTAAAGAAGAACTCCAGGAATGTTTTTATTAACCCTTGCAGTGGAGGTACCACCGCACTGCAAGGGTTAAGTGCTCAATTGTGTCTAGTTGCTAAAATAACAAAATTATACTCACCCGAAACTCCAAGCTGGCCAGCTGTCACAGCATTCACACCAGCCTGTCCAGTGGCATCACAAGGGGGGTGCGGCCCGCACGCGGGTGACACCAAAATGACTGACAGTGGCAGGAAAGGAGGTGACCCGGCGGCATACCTCATCCGGCTGAGTGAACGTTCCCCTCCTCTTTCTGCCGGCGTCCATCACCAAGATGGTAGGTGTCAATTAGTTACCTACGCGCATGCGCAATGGTGTCACTGCGGGGTGTCACATGGTGTCCTCTCTGGGTGACACCCGGCCTCGGGACGCCCCTGAGCCTGTCCCCCCACTTCTTCAGCATCCTCATGTCTATACACTGATCTCTGCTTCCTCCGTTTCTTTGGGGTTCCTAGGTGACATTAGGGGTCTGAAAGACCTCTGATGTCTCCATAAAGAGGACCTGTCACACCCTATCTGCCATTACATAGGGAGCTTGTTATCCCCCTATGTGATAGCAATAAGGTTAGTGTAAAAAAATATATATATTTTTCTGTGCACTAAATTTATTTGTAGTGTATCTAATCTTAAAAATACTGGTTTGACAAACATTTGCGCAAATACCGTGCGACATACAACATTGCAACCAGCATCTTTTTATTCTACAGGGCCTCTGCTTTCAGAAAATATATCATTGTTTTGGAGTTTTAAGCTGTTTTCTAGCCAAAAATTCAGATTATATCATGTGTGTCCAAAATGCAAATAGTAAGAAATTGCTCTGGACAGCAAGGGGTTAATAAAAAAAGTTTTCCTGGAGTTCTTCTTTAAGCGAAATCATTAAACCAATTATTTGGCAATAGAGAAATACTAGGAGCTCGGTGGCATCTATTTAATGAAGAAATCACCTACAATTTACTCACTGGTTTTATTTTATTTTAGATGTCCCCCTGCTCTTCTGGACTAGATTCTCCTCCCGTTTCTTGGAGAGACTTCGTCTATTGGAGGTTTACTCTGAGGAGCTCCTCCAAACCGACCCCAAAATCTCTCAGTGCGAGGACGTTGTTTCCTTTTTCTCTCCTAACAACCAGGACCTGGCCCCATCCTTCCCTGAAAACAGGTTTGAACAGCTGCTAATATATATTGTACTTTCTGCTATATCAGTGGTATCGTAGTGCTCGCAACTCAAACTAGTTCTACTTACTCATGGAAAGGGTCCGTTCAGTGATTGTCCGGTCTCAGCTCGTTCCTTTTTTTATGTGTTTGCAGTGTGAGCCCCAATCTGAAATCTGATAGAAAGTCACTCCCACTCCAAAAACATTTGTAGTCAATCTTCGTTATTGACCATAAAAGTGTCACATTGCCTAGCGACGTTTTCGAGACCATGTGGTCCCTTCAGAATTAAGTTAACAGCAGTGACTCCCTTAATAATTCATGGCACCAGATTTCAGATTAGAAAATAGTGGATCCCATCGCACTCCTGACCGGAAAACCCCAAAGAACAAGGGGGTGGGTGCTGGAGTGTGCTCAAATGTAACTGGTAGAAAGTCACTCGCACTCCAAAAGCATTTGTAGTCAATCTTCTTCATTGACCATAAAAGTGTTACTGTAACGGGAACCGCCGACTGCGCTCACCTGGGGTCCGGGGAGGGCACGGTTCCGCCGCTTCTCGCCGCCGGCCGTCTGCGTCCCAGGGTGGAACGCACACATCCACTTCCGGGTTCGGGCGTCGGATGCGTTCCACCGTGGGACGCGGAAGTGCGCCGCCTCGACCAGCGGCTCCACCCCCAGCCCCTGGCCCTATATAAACGCCCCAGTGAGACAGTATGGCGTTCCACTAATGCAGACTGAACGCCTACTGTCTCCTGGGACCCCACAGCTCATCTACTCGCCTGAAGCCGCTACAAAGCTTGCATCGATTGCTCCTGGACCCCTGCACTCTAAACTGCCTTCACTTGAAACCGCAAGTACTTGTGCTCAATTGCACTGCAGCTTAAACCTATGACTGTATAACTGGGAACCCTGGATTAGCTCTTGTGCTCCATCTAGTGGGCTGTTGGGAAATTACATCATTGACTCTAACTCATGCTTCAACACTCCTGAATTTCAGTTATCATCCATAACTAATACAAATTGAGGGTACTATTATCAAGATTGGGAATATGCTGTAATACCCCTTCTTCCTTTCTTTATTTCTTTGGCTGTGATGCTTGAACCCTAACTCCCCGTTAAGATTGGGAGTGAAACCAGGGTTCCGTCTGAGTAGCCTCCGCAGTTGCGATCCACAACCTCGAAACGACCCCAGGCGTTACAGTCACATTGCTTAGCGACGTTTTCGAGACCATGAGGTCCCTTCTTCAGGCAAACAAAAGTGTTAACACCAACAGAATAAGCGCAGATATAAATACAAAGCAGTGAAAAACAATGAACCAATCATTATGACATCAGAAGGGGAGTTTAAAGAGAAAATAAGGGGAAAAAAATCATACCGCCAGTGAAACGCGCGTTTCACTGAACGGAAAAACGTGCTGAAAAACAAACAGAAGAAATACGCCCAGGTGTGAACCTAGCCTTACAGTCAACAAAGAAGATTGGCTACAAATGTTTTTGGAGTCCGAGTGACTTTCTACCAGTTACATTTGATTTGCAGAGGCATCTGCGGTTACTTCAGCACCCACCCCCTTGTTCTTTGGGGTTTTCCGGTCAGGATTGCGATGGGATCCACTATGTTCTAATCTGAAATCTTGTGCAATAAATTGTTAAGGGAGTCACTGCTGTTGATTTGATTCTGTAAGCATCTAAGGCACATTCCCTTACACCCAGTTTGGCTCCTTGTTTTGTGTTCAAATGCAAAGCCACACATACGTATGGGCACAGAGGCTATATTTGACCTGCTTTTGCCTGCAACGCAAATGGATCTAAATTGGACTTGATGTCTCCAATGACACACAAAGCAAGTCAAATGCAGCTTCCTGGTGCTCATCTACGCTGTATAAGTCAAATAAAAGTAATTCAAAAACTGCTGAATTCCTTTTATATTTTTGCCTGCCTGTCACACCATAGCTAAAGCTTGGAAACAAACTACAGTGTCGTTGGAGAGGTTATACAAAGGGTCATAGGCATTACTGGTGCATGAGAAACTTTCAGCCATTCTAAACGATTTTGCAACACAAAAACTCCGTTCCAATGTGGCAACAAAGCATACATAATGTGACAAAAAAGTTTTCTTTTGATCTCTCGTGGCTAGTCAAAAATATTCCAATGAAGGAGATTTACTTCTAAAAAAATCAAATTAGAACAAAAAAATCAAATTAGAACACAAAAACAGCGAAAAAAGTCTATTTTCGTCGTATAGACGTTATGAAGGGATGGCAGGTCTCTGATAATGTCTATACGACGAAACGCGTCGGGGGCGGGCCTTCATTCACGTTGCACTTTCAGTCTGGAGAGTCACGCTTGACCGACCAGCCGGCTGTTTTTACAATTTTTATCGAAGCGATATTGTGTGGGTTTTTTTTATATACAATAAATTCCTTTACTACACCATGAGCGCATTGCTCTCTTTCTTTATGGCCTCGATTGGGAGATTGGGAGATAATCATAGGATCCTAGCGTGCTTCAAGGACGTGAGGACGTAGAGCTCCGGTTTCCATCCCGGCGAGGTAAACTGCCTTACTAACATCTTACTTCTGGTGAGTGCATACCCTAGAGGGGATTTCTTTGGGTTTCGTTGAACACATCACAGACTTATTGTATTTGGGAAACACATGGATTTCACTGTTTGATTTTTGGAAGAAAAATATACTTTTTTGCTGTTTTTTGTTTTTATTCATATTTCTTTTGAAAAAATATACTTTTTTGGCTGTTTTTCTGTTCTAATTTGATTTTTTTTTTGTTCTAATTTGATTTTTTTTAAAGTAAATCTCCTTCATTGGAATTTTTTTGGACTAGCCACGAGAGATTAAAAGAAAACTTTTTTGTCACATTGTGTATGCTTTGTTGCCACATTGGAACGGAGTTTTTGTGTTGCAAAACTTTTCACTTCAATATTTTTGTTTCACTTATTAGCAACTTAATACAATATTTATTTTGGAATTTAGTTTGTTTAGATAGTTTCACAGTGACACCTGTTTTTTACCTCCAATAGTGGTCGGAACAGACAGTGCCTTTAAGTATTGAGATTTATAGTTTGTAGTGTGGATGTTTTTTGCGTGTACGAGTTGTCACATGCAGTGCACCTTTATTCACACAAAGATTTGATTCATTTACGTATAATTCTTTGTGAAGATTATGTTTGACACTTTATTGTACTATTTTTTAACAATATAACACTATAGCTTTGGGTGTATCACCGAGAGGCTTTTAGCGATGTACCTTGCATCGATCTACCCATAAGGCTTACCGCCTGAGTCTAGCAGCTTCTAGCTAGTACAGTTTTTTTCTGATTGGTTCTCTTTTTCCATTAGCGCGGGTTTTGTTTATTATTCTAAACGATTCCCACCCTAAATTTCTTGAAACATGGTCCCCATGGTTGGACTATAACCACCATTTGAATTTAGAACGCTCTTCGCTCTCGCTTTGGAATGAAGCGGTATCTAAGGCTGTGGGTCCTGATCGCTCTCCGCACATTTTCCCTTTCTTCTCTCTTTTTCTGTTAAGCTTTTAGTTTGCTCTTCACTGTTCTGATACTGTACCTCCTTTTTCCCATACCTCTTCTTCCAACCCGTTTTTTTTTTATTATTTCCCTTTTTTCTTCTTTTTCATGAGTTTTGCGTAAGCTGAGCATGATCCTCCTCATGCCCTTTGCGCCACAAGTCAAGGTTCTTCGGGGAAGTCGCATTCTTCCCTTGGGTTGGGCTCGGTTTTTTTCCTTTGACAAGAGGAGATGGTTGAGACCAGCCGTGAGGGCACCTTTCCTTCTTTGTATTAAGTATATTATACTCCTTCACCTGTCATGTCTGCCCTTTTTTCTTTTGAAATATCTTTGTGTGTATTCTGTTTGTTACTTATGTTCATGATGACAATTAACTTTCTACCTTCTTTCGTGACCTACCTTCCTATTGAGGAGTTGTCTTGGATTTCCTCTTGTTATAATGTCTTTATATAAAACTTTTTGTAAACGAAAAAACGGCTGAATTCTATTTTAAGCATGCTTTAAAAGCAGGTCAAATTCAGAAAAACAAACCCATTCTACTGTCACGTACCTGGTAAGAGACTGGAAGGTGAGGAGGCTTCTCTTGCGACTCGTGTCCTTCCGCCCCTGGAGGTGGGAACAGGAAGCAGTTGGACACGGAGGAGCACGAGTGCCACTGATGGGAATGGACACTGTGCAGGAGACGTCCTGATGACGTGTAGTCAGCAAGCCGGGGGTCCACCAAGCAGACAACATGGAGCAGGAACAAGAGACTGAAGCGTAGTCAGGAAGCCAAAATCAGGAGGCAGAAGGCAAAGTCCAGAAACAGGCCGAGGTCAGGAGCAGGCAGCAATCCAATAGAAAAGTCCGAGCAAATCGGGTCAGGCAGGTCACAAGAATCCAAATGGTACAAGTACACAAGAGCTGAAAAGACCATCAGCAATGGAGCAGGGGCAGGCTCATCTTTATATGGTGAGCTAAACCAGGTAGCAGCATCACTTCCTGTGCGACGGCCGTTGCAAGTGTTTCCGCGCACCTTGGGCCCTACGGTGTATTGGTTTGCCACCATTTTGTCCTTACATCTACACAAGTCCTTATTAAGGTTAACTTTAGGCAAGTGTTTAAACCTCACACAGCGCTTGGCTCGTCCATGGAATATACAGTATTGAGCTGAGGGTTATAAATCACTGAACAGTTACCCTTTAGTGAGCGGAGAGCCATTTTATGTGTAACTTTTTAGATGGATTTGTACTGTGATATAGCAACCATGAAGAGCACATAACATTTTCAGTTGAGCACGAAATAAACTCTATAAAACAGTTCAGGAACAGAGGTTGATCAAGTCTACTGACCATTGTTTGTTGCTTGTAGTCTAGTGATACTGCCGTCAGAAAATGACCAGAAGCAAAGAGTGGTGGTCTCCCCATCAAAGTCATATGAGCCCAACACACAGCCCATCGTATCAGAACCTTACCTATGCATTGACGCCTATGAAACTAAAGACACCAAGAACAGGCCATTCAAGGTCCAGAAGAATGAACAAATAGATGTCCTCATGAAAGATGCTACTGGTAGGTCTGGGGCTATAGAAAAGGTTTTCGCACCTGCACAGATAGATGTCCCCAGTTCTTCTTAGTTAAATGTTAGGGGTTGCACATGTTGGGAGGGTTCAAGTTTTTTTTTTTTTTCAGCATGTAAATTTGTATTAAGAAACAATTGTCAACAGTAACAGAGCAATAGAAAGGCAATAAATGTCGAAATCAATACGTTATGTTACATACTAATCTGTTACAAGAGAAACCATATGCAGGTAGATATGCAGAAAACTGTTATCTGGCATCTTACCCTAAAATATACTAAAGTAATCAACTTTATTCTATAGACTGCATGGTATTATCCGGAAAGGAAAGGAGAGGAAGCAAAATAGATACATTTTAATTACATCAACGGAATACCACATGGGACCTTAATAGAGATAATCTGGATTAGACAATGGACAGAAGAGCAAAGAGAGCAAGTCTACAGAAAGGAAAGAAAAGGAGAGGGGAAAGTCAAAGGACATCTAAATCTCCCAGAGTCCCAGCGAGCTTCGCTTCCAGGTACCATTTATACTATTGGAACATGGCCATGAGAGATTTAGGTTGATCATGTGTCAGTTCCAAAGCTGCAAAAGTGGACCATGTGCCAAAAAAAGATTGATCTTGTGTAGGTCAGTAATGGTTTCTAATGTATGCATAAGCATGAGGAGGTGCAAGAGTGTTTTCACATTGTAGGCACTGGGAGCTGCAGTAGATAACTAATTGGTCAGGATAGATTTTTTAGCAGCAAGGATACAAAAATGTTCCCATCATGACAAAGGAGGGGAAGATGACGAGTCCAATAGTTGGGCATGAAAAAGACATATGTCTGGGGTTAAGGTGCGAGATCTACCTGAGCAAGAATTCATATAAGTTATAACATCAGTCCAAAAGGATTGAATATCAGGACAAGACCATATTAAGTGAGGAAGGTCAGGGGAAGGGAGACGACACTTCGGGCTGGGTTCAAGTTTTTATGTGTTGACACAAACCTATGTAGTGGAATAAGATCTTTGCAAGATATTTCCAACTTACAGGTTGACTTAGGATCATTGGTTGATTGGGCAGCTACTTGGCAAATGAGGATTAATGTGGACACATGTAAAGTTATGCAGTTGGGGGCCTAAAAGAAGATTTCATTCTGGAGGGGAGGTAGAATTGGGTGAATAAATAAAGGTTAAGTCATAGACTCCACAAAGATGTGGTTTTGCCCCTTTACAATGCATTAAGGTCCTCTCTGGGATATGTTGGTGTGTGTGTGTGTCCAGACAGTTCCGATGCACTCAATTGAGTCTCATCGCACTGTTTCTTATTTTTTTTTCCTTAGAACTCTATTGAAATGTCACAAGTGACATTTCATTAAGTTCTATGGGCTCACCTCGGTCTGATGCAGTTGTACTGCATGTCATGAATCAAGCCTATTCATGACAAATCAAATTGCCTTGTCTTGCCTTCAGGCTGTGCCTTGAAAAAAAAACGGTCAGGGCAGCCTGAACGCAGATGGCGTGAACTGGCCCTTAGGCCCCATTCACACTGCATGATTCGCAAATCGCGTGTTTGTCGCGCGATTTGCATTTTGCACGATATCGCGCGATTTATCGCGCAAATGCTTGCATTGAAAAGCATTGAATCGCGGCAAAATCCGCTCCAAAAAGGGTCCTGCTGTAGCGACACACGACCCGCGACAGCAGGACCCTTTGCCCCATTGCCAAGCATTGGAGAGCGATATCGCGGGGTAAATAGCCGCGATATCGCGGGAATTACCGCGCGATAAATCGCTCAATGTGAACGGGGCCTTAAGCTTTTCGCCTTTCTCTGTAACAGCTTGTATGTCCTTAGGATCCAAGGTTGAACCTAATTATATTTTCATCTACCTATCTACTGTATGTACAATGCTAACTGTTGGAGATTTAATTTTTTATGAAGCTGAAGTTTTCCTTTAACTTTTTAAATTGTCCTCACGTGTAGGCTGGTGGTTGGTGGAAAATAAAGAGAAGTGTCTGGCTTGGTTTCCAGCACCGTACCTAGCAAAGCCAAAGTCGTCGTACATGGAATTCAAGGATAAATCATTTCATAGAGGTAATTGATGAGCAAAGACAGATTTATTTTGGATAGACCGGGGAAAAGACTCAGATTTTTCTATTGTCTTTGGAGTTTTCCTTTTTTAAGAACTATGTAAAAACATCTCTTCAACAGCAATATAGACACAAGCAAGTAGAGTGAGAAGAGGTAGAACTTCTGACAATGCTTTCATAGCTATGGGTTTCTCCTGCTTTCAGCCCCTGTTTCTTGTATGAAGGACACAGAAATATATATATATATTGTGGCAGCAGGCAGGTGAAATCGCCTGGGTGTATCCAGGATGGCATATATGTGTGTCCCAGGTTCAGGTTGTATGCAGATTTTTTTCACTAGAGGGAGTGCTGGGAGGCTGGTAGAGGTAATAAGCCCAGCTAAGGTAAGCTGGCTCATTAGGGCCTCTATAAGAACTCCCTGACTGCTCAGAGATTTGCTCCACCCTGGAACCAGTTTCATGCCTGATAGACTGGGGAGCTTTCTACTGACCTGTGTGGTGACAAAGGAAAACAAATCTTGTGTGGTGAGACACAGCCTGTGTGGCAGTTGATTGAATAGGGAGATAGGTGCTAGGGGCAGCACAAGGTTGCACCTAGTTGGTAGTGAGGGATACTGTACATGTAGTAAGTGGCCAACAGGCCCGGATTTATTTTCATGTTTTGTTTGTTTTGCTCATACCCCTAAAAATGTAATTGTCTTTACAAAATGTGCACAGTTAGCAGACAGTGCGTCTACAGAGCTGAGCTACATATATGTAGTCTTCGTCATCCTAATTTGAATATCCCAGTAATAAAATACAACCTTTTTTTTATTTTCCAGGGACCTTATACTATGCGCAGAAGGGCTATGAGGTCCAGAATTCAGATGAAATCTCTCTTAGAGTTGGGGTTGTTGTGGAAGTGATAGAGAAATCTGAAAATGGCTGGTGGCTGATCTGGTAAGGTCCTACTTTGTGACCTCTTAAAGGGGATGCATTGTGTTTCTGTCCATATTTCTTATATTGAATATAGACAGGACTAAATAACATAATGCATATTTTTTACATGTTTCCTTGCTTACTTTATCTCCCATTGTAGAAGGTCTGTTCTTTGGCTAACTTGTAGTGCTGTGGAAATCCTTTGTTTTACAAGCAAATATTTAATACATGGCATATACATAATACATCACAAAGTATAAATATACTGTAGACAGTTAACATAAACCTGTGCCTAGTCTGGGCACAAGTGCGGACACAGCAGGAGATGAAAGGTGATCGATACAAAGTGAGGGAAAGTCCACTCTTTAGGAATTGCAATGGAATAGTCTTCATTGTAAGTTTTTTCCCTCTGTTCTGTTCTGTTGACAACTCAAAATGTTAGATTTCCTATTACTTTGTGTCTTGGTGCAGTGGTTACCAGGACAAATCTAGAGGGTGAAAAACTTCCCTGCAGGGACATAGACAGCAATGAAAACCTGACCAGTTGGATAATCTGTCCCTTCTCTATCTAAAGCTAGAAAAACAAAAGGTTTGACTTTAGATACACTTGCAAAATAAGCAGATACATAACATCAATTTATAAACCTAAAAATGATAACATTCACCCATAAATATTATATTTTCCTTTAAACATTGTTTTTTTTTCTCCTCCAGTTACAATGGAAGATTTGGTTATGCTCCGGCCATGTTCCTTAAACCCTACAAGAATCCTCATCAGAATTTACAGGTGCCATACGATCATGAGAAATTCGGTTCCACACCCAACCTCCTTAAGGCAGTAAGCAGGGAAAACCTTAATACAGAGCTAAGCCTGGAACCGAGTGCAATGCATGTGGAGAATTCTCACAAGGCAAGGTTAGAAAAGAAGAAGTCTAGGTCCTTAAGTAATCTCCACGTCTCTGATAAGGTGGCTTCAGACAACAGCATTTTAAGCAGAAGAAAGGATTTTGCTGTAGAATGGAACAAACAGGACTCAGGAACATCCGGGTCTCCTCTTCAGACTGTTCATCCTCAAGGTTCAGAGTGGACTATAGACAAAGCAGAATCTGCGGAAGAAAGACAGAGGAAAGATTCAGGATTTGATGAGCAACCTTCACCTGGGATATCTGTTGCTTCAAATGATGGTGACACACCACCCACCATTCCCCAGAGACCTTCGCTGCAGGAGATTCACTCTAAATGTACCTCCATTACAAGGAGAGCTGCCCTACAACCTTATATCTGAACATGTTCTAGGGACTACTGGCCATAATAAGATTGATGCATTGAGATGCTTCTAAATTCTATTTGAGTTCCTTTACAGGTTCATTGAACCTGCAGCTGAACGAAACTACTTTGGCGTTCCCAATGACCTAAATAGAGAGAAAACCAGTTCTGATGCAACCAAAAGTCTGTGTACACAGGCCCTAAATCTAAAGAGAAGGATGCAATAGCAGCTAAGAAGAGTAACAAGACTTTCCATAGCTCAGGCAACACAAAACTATCTGCTCCTTCTCTTCAGGCTCTTGAATGATAAGCTATACCTTCTAAATTGTATCTGATGCTAAGTCCTTCTTAAAAGGTACTTCACGCATGCTTTTGTTGAAGTGACATGGAAGTCCTGCAGATGCATTATGTGTACAGGGTACCAGACCCAGGACTCCAGGACACTGTCTTGTAGACCTCCCAGGCAATCAGTGACAGATGAAAGCGGTGTTGTTGGCTGTCTCACCAAGGCAAGCACCATAAGAATGACGGTGCCCTACAATTTCAATGAAATACAGTATTTGTCTTGTAGTGTTTAAAGGAGAACTATGAGGTGAGGAAAATCAGTCACCCTCATAGTTCGAGCCGATGTGGGACAATTAAACTGTCACAGGTTGGCTCATTAGATCTGGAAGTGAGTGAACACATACCGTCGCTCGCTCACTTCTTGATCATCTCCATGCAGACAGCCATGACTGTCAGTCCCAGCTCCCCGCAGGGATTCTCCCCTCCCAGCTCCAATCCTCAAGCGCTGATTGGAGGAACGAATGGGAGAGGGGCGGGCGGGCACAGCTGGCTCTGCCTCTAGATAGGCTGAGCCAGCTGTCACTCACGCAACTGGGTGGATCTCGACAGCACTGTCGAGATTCATCCCAGCTGCGGCGGTCTCAGTATACCGCGAGCTGTAGCTCGCCATATACTGAGCTTTGGGTAACGGGAGGACACTAGTATATGTCCTCCCGGGACCCTTAAAAGAACTATGGGGAAAAACACTGACCCCATTGTTCTCCTTTAACTTAAAGTGACACTAAACCTAATAAATTAATTCAAGTAGCTTAACTATTAACTATTACAATCTCAATACAAATGAGTAAACTAAACATGAGATTGTAGTCCATCCCAGGAGGGAGCTTTTGGCCCTAGGCAGGAACAAGCACATAACCCTTGCTGTGCTAAGCCATACTGCAAGTGTTAATAACATTTTTACCCGGGATTCTGATTCATGTATTTGCAGATAGTGGCCGTACCAAAATAAAATGATCCCTTTTATACTGGCAATACCGCAGGTTACCTAAACAGGGAAATAGAGCATGCAGATTACAACATACCTGGAACCATGAAATATCCGCCTACTTCCAATAAATGTTACATGGCAGGAGTTTCTCTTTCATAACAAACATGTTTCGATGACAATTAAAATAAGTTATAAAACAATAGATGATATTACTTTGTAACAATCTGAAAACCCAAGTTGGCAAACCTCTTACAGCAAGTGGGTGAGTCCAACCAAAGATGAAATCATAATGTTGTTTCAGAAAGCAAACATTACTACTGGATGATTGTAATTGTCCTGAATGTAAAGGGTATGTAAACCCGAACAATAAACTTATCTTTTTTGCTCCCTTTGATCTTTTTAATAGACCATTGAACGTGTTTTGTTATTTCAGCTCAATAAGTGCAAAAACATACCTGTTGATCCTGCCAGAAATCTAGTCCTGTCCTGTGCACTCGGCAGTATTATCTGCAATCCTATCTTCCTGTCTGGGCTACCTTTGTAAACTACAGAACACTCCTATCCTATTTTATGGTTCTGGGGAGAGAGAGGGGTTTTGTGTAGTCCTAACATATTTCCTGTCCAAGGGTTACTGTGCTGCCACAATAGTTGCATTCATAGCCACAGTTAATATTCACATTATCGTGAGATGAGAATTTATATAGTTTATTTAACCGTAAGCCATTTGTTTATTGATATTTTATGGCTAAGTTCATATATTGACATCTAGTGGCCATTCTAGTTATTGCACATGTTTTCTGTGTCCCCTCCCATCTATGATGTATTTCCCCTTCTTGCTTGGTGTGGAGTATCATGGCTGCTCCTAACAGCACCACATGTTAATCTGCATTGCATGCTTGGAAACATTATCATCTTTGACCGCCTTAAATACCGCCAATTCATTCATCTGCTGTATTCTGTTGTCTGCTGTAACCTGCTGCACGGAATAAAATAAAGTTTGTGGATGGAAAAGGTATTTGGTGAGTTCAGCTATCTGATAAGGATCGTCCGCAGTGATTATATCTGCTTATACAGGCCAGGCATAGTCGCTAATACAACAATCGGAGTCAGAATAGTGACAACGCTGCTCCTCCATAGATACAGTGCAGTCAGTGAGTGTTGTCACTCTAGCACAGGAAGTGTATTATTCACCAGGTGAAAATAAGGGGAAAAAAAGCTTGAAAACAGAAAATGAATGCCAACACATCTAAGGACTGGTAAGCTGCGGTATATATTTCTTGTTCTTGGGTTCGTATACATTTTAAGAGGGTGTTGAGTTCTCAGGCAGAACCTACAACTAATTCTGAAGATTGCCATTAGTCTACATAATGAGCTGTATCATGGTGATAACCTTCAAGGACAACTGCACTAGGGGTGAAGCTACCGAGTCATTATAATAGCCAGGCAACAGCTATTTTCAGAAGGAGGTGAACTTGATGGACCTGTGTCTTTATTCAACCTCAAATATTATGTAATTATAATAAATTGCAGCCCCCTTATTCCTCTCATGACTGATTTATATTAAAGGACAACTTCACCTATAGTAATGTTTTTCTTTAAGTAACCCC